CTTTCAGAAATCCTGAATGCACTCATGTGCAATGTAGGATATCTTGGTCGTAAGCTAACCATTGACATGCGACCTTTTGTCTCGATCCACTGAGGCACAACTGTCATCGGGAGTCCCTGTTGAAGAACATCGTATAATAATTAATATACTTAGCAATGAAAGCTTAGCTTCAAAAATAATGTATGCAAAAGATGCACTAAGGACAAATAGTAAAAATCTTACCATCTTTCCATTATAGATGTGATCGTAGTTCAATACGATCACTATTGGTCGCACGTTATTAAAAATGCTCGTTAATTAGCTTCAAGCCTTTCGGAATAGTGTAAACGGCACTGCACATAGCTCCGTGCAGTCTACCATATTCCTCAAGGCTTGAAGCTAAGCAACGTGAGCATTGAGCCTCTTCTTCATCGTCTCTGCACTCAGGGCTTATAAACCGCTCCTAGTGCCTCTCTCTTCGCGAGGTGGGACTAAAAACAGCTTACTAAGAAACTGTAGTACTGGTTCATGCCATGAACCGGTACTAAAGGTGCTCGTGGGGCCCCAGCCTGACCTGACACAACCTCATTAGTACCAGTTAGTGGCACGAACCGGTGTTAAAGGTTCGCCACGAACCGGTACTAAAGAGCTCCTCCCGCCTAGCAGTTGGAACCGGCACTAATGGACACATTAGTGCCGGCTCAAATTCAAACCGAGACTAATGTATCTCATTTTGTATTGCTTTTCAATTTCAGGGTCATTTAGCTCAAAACAAATCATTAAATGCATGAAAAATAGCAAATGAAGGCAGAAATGGTTGAAAGTTGATGGCATCGCTTTGAATGATGCATACTGAATGTACAAAAAGTCTGGAGTTGTAACAAGTTTAAAAAAATGAAATGCCTTTGTAACAGATGAGTTTGATTTCGTCAGAAACCCGAATACTTCGAAAGAGATTATCCAGTTTGTAAATGAAGTGCATCCAGTTTTTGCCGTAACCCTCTCTACTTTTTTGCACATGCTATGTGGGTGAAATGATGTACCATGCCAAGTTTCAACTTTTTCAGAGTTCATTTGTAGTGCTTTTCAATTTCAAGGTCATTTAGCTCTCAAAACAAATCATTAAATGCATGAAAAATAGCAAATGAAGGCAGAAATGGTTGAAAGTTGATGGCGTCACTTTGAATGGTGCATACTGAAACGCAAACAATATAAGAGCATTTAGATCATGATCTTATATTTCTTTACAGTCTGAATTGTCAATATGATCTTATACACCAAAAACACTTTGATCATCAATGATCTTTTTGTGTACAATCTGAATTGTCAATATGAGTCCTCAACGATTTGTAAACCGGTGAAGACTCATATTGCGGCCACAAATTCTACACATAGAGTTCAATGAAGACCAAGTGCTTGTGATAGTTTGAGAAGTAACATACTTAAGGTGGTAAAAGCCTTGTTAGGGGAGCGAGGTGGGACTAAAAATAGCTTGCCATAACCTCATTAGTACCGGTTCGTGGTACGAACTGGCACTAAATGGTGATGGTGGGGCCATAGCCTGACCGCAGGCTGCCACAGCCTCTTTAGTACCGGTTCGTGGCATGAACCAGTACTAAAGGTTCGGCATGAACCGATACTATTGATCGTCGCCACGAACCAGTACTATTGATCACATTAGTGCCGGTTCTGTTACAAACCAGCACTAATGTGCTTCACATTTGACCCTTTTTCTACTAGTGATCAAACAATCAAGCATCTTTTTTCCAATGCAAATTTACACATACATGATCAGTCATTCAAGTAGTGTCAAATTTGTATTCGTCGACGGGCGTTGCCAATATTTTTGGTCATTGGTTGGATGATATTGCAAATAGGTTTAGAACGTTAATAAGGGTGTGAACATGTGCCTTATTATTTGTGCTTTGGTTATGTAGAAATGATTTGATTTTTGAGGGAAAAATTCCTCTCCTTTATAGGTTATTTTCATTATACGCACTCGCTTCATACGTGGTCTACGCTACACCAAACGGAGTACCAATCACTGTTCAAGGTGATATGTATGTGGTTGGACCGGGTGGCCAGGGAGGTTTTTACCCAACATGTGTGGCAACATAATCTCCGGATCAATCCAACACCTCATTCGACGTAGGCATAGTTTCAGTCCTATATAACTGTACTATTGCTGATATGTCATCTTTTTATTGTCTATCGGCTCCTCTCTCATGCCGCTCCCACGGGCGCGACTCGGGAGAGGAAACCTAGCCAGTCGCCGGGAGACCACCCAACGTAGCTGCTCCCCTCGCGCCGCCGGGCAAAGCCCGTGCAGCGTAGGCGACGGCGGGGCCGTTTGTCCCCTTCGCGCTGGATCGAGCGGCGCGGGCGTCTCGATCTGGCGGGGGCTGGAGCGAGGCGAGGCGAGGCGAGGCGCGGGAGCAGCAAGCTCGCGTGGTTCTTGCGCCATGGCGCGCTACAGGCGCGGGGGTGAGGTGAAGCGCGCGGATCTGGCGCTGGCGCGTGGCGGCGGCACGGGACTGCGTGGATCTGGCGTAGTCGCCGGTGCGCGAGGCGGATGGGAGTGCGGGGCTGCGCGGGCCTTGAGCGGGCGGGTGGCTCACTACTGCAGTGAGCGCCCTTGGCGGCGGTGTGGCGGATCCGGCGAGCTGGTGGCCCAGATTGCAGCGGACGATGGCAGATCCAGCCTCATTTTCGCAGCGACAACTTGGGGGTGCGGATCCAGTGCTGGAGGCGCAGTCGCCGGTGCGCGAGGCGGATGGGAGTGCGGGGCTGCGCGGGCCTTGAGCGGGCGGGTGGCTCGCTGCTGCAATGAGCGCCCTTGGTGGTGGTGTGGCGGATCCGGCGAACTGGTGGCCCAGATTGCAGCGGACGGTGGCGGACCCAACCTCGTTTTCGCAGCGAAGACTTGGGGGCACGGGATCCAGCGCTGGAGGGAGTGAGGCGGCATGCGAGGGCTGCAGCGGGCGTGGCACAGGAGGATGCTGCGGGCGCAAGCGGGAAGCCAGGTGAGGGCGGGCCTGGATCTGCCAGGTCGTCCGTGGCTGACGGCTCGGGAAGGGTACTGCTGGCTGGTGGTGGTGCCCGGGTGCCGCTTGTTGGAGCAGGGAGGTTCCGGCTGCGGTTGGATGTAGGGTGCAGGGCCCATTTTGGTCTTCTGCGGGCCCGCCGTCGGGGAGGCTAGCTGGTGACCCTGCACAGCGGTGGCGTGCTCGATGTGTGGGGGTGCACGGTCTAATGGAGGTACGGGTCGACCTCGGCTTGCTGCGTGGGAGTGGCTGCTCCGGGTGAAAGCTTGGCCGGTGCTGGCCGGCCAGCGACGACGGCGCCTGTGGGCGACGATGACGCCTGTGGGCGTCGCTATCCTCCTTGGAGGCGTCATCGGAAATCTCACAGCCAGTTATCCCGGATCAAGTCCTTCGGGTGAAAACCCAGATCCTACTGCAGGGTCGGGCGGCGGCGGCGTCTTCAACGTCGTTCCCCTCTTTAGGGCGCCGTCTTGAAGACTTTGATCCCTTTGGTGCTTCCTACGACTGGACGTGCACAGTGGCTTCTGTGGCAATGTTGACGGCGGTGAGTAATGTCGGAGACGTGGCCTTGGTCGTGGTAGTCGGCTTCTTCTTCGACGTGTTCGTGGGAGTGCCTCGACTGCTGTTGCTGTGAAGTCGAAGCCGCGGTGGGGGGCCGGCGGTATACGATGACACATGATAGGCGGTTCGTTTGGTGATCCTTCGTAACGCCAACCTCGCCTTGTTTTCCTTTCTAGTGCACCGTTAGAGTCGGAGCTGCGCTACCTAGTATGAATTGTATGGAGTGTTGTGCTGCAGTTATTAGGGCTGTTGTTTTTCTTTTTCTTTGATCTTCGGATCTTCTGGTCTTAGGACCTTCACCACCTTGTTGTTTTCCGTAGCTTCCTGCTATAATCAATGAATGCCAGTGATGTTGGATCTTTCAAAAAAAAATATCGTCTGTCAGTTTTTAGTGTTTGGCCGTAAGCTTCTTAGTTATGCAAAGGCCGTGTATTGCTCATCATGTTTTGTATCCGCTTAATGCTACATTTTGAGTTAATAAAAATATTTTTTATCGGAAAAAAATGAGACACACTCACACACATCTCAACTTGAAGGTGCACAAAAGGATTCATTATTTCGAAGTCGCTACTGATTACAATACATTCAACCACAACTTTCTCCTTTTGTCTTCTTTTTTGAAACGGAGGTAAGCCCCGGACTCTTAAATGAACAAAGGTCTGCAGAAGCTCAGGATGCAGCTAGAGGCCTACCGTTACTGCCAGCAGCCTTAGGAAAAATCATTCTGTTTATTCTTACGGTTCAGGTTGCCAGTAGTGCTCAGCCTGTAGTCTTGAGCGCGTCCTGGATGACCACAGCCACTGCAAATGGTGCCAATCGGAAAATTCTCATGAGCACAAAGCACCAACCCTATACATGCATTGCATTGCATTGTACTCCATCCGTTTCTAAATATTTGTCTTTTTAGAGATTTCAGATGGACTACCACATACGGATTTATATAGACATATTTTAAAGTGTAGATTCACTCATTTTAGTCCGTATGTTGTCACTTATTAAAATCTCTAGAAAGACAAATATTTATGAAAAAAAGGAGTACATGCAAAAAGTAATATAAAATAAAAACGATCCCTACTTCTTTGTTCAGATGATTGGACAGTGCCGGCAAGATTGTTGTTGGCAACATTTCTGCGTGAAGATAAAAAAGTTATGCCAGTGGAGGTCACTAGTGAAGGATGAAAGTAAATGTACTACTCACAGTTCAGCCAAGTCCCCGACCAGGACAGGAGAGAGGACATCCAGCGGCACTGTGCCAGTCAGCATATTATCCTCAAGATTCAACTTGACAAGCTTCGTGAGATGGTTTGTTCCGATACAGCCTCCTGCGGACACCAACAGGTTGTTTTAAGTAGTTACCCCGCAAAAAAAAAGGAAAAAAAAGAGGTTGTTTTAAGTAGTTGGAGACAAATAGGCCTTTTAGCATCTCTTCAACTGAAAATTGCTGCAGCAAGACTCGTACAGAAAACGCAGCATCCTGATGTTGGCAAGCGAGGCCGGTATCGTGCCAGTGAGAAGGTTGTCGTAGAGATCAAGGGTGACCAGGCTTGTCAGGTTGCCGAGGGTTGTTGGTATGGATCCACTAATGTTGTTCGTAAACAGCTCCCTGTGAAGATGGGAAGATCATTCCGTAGGAAATTTTGGGTGTAATTTGACAAGTCTGCACTCTCTGCAGCAAGTCACAGTAGTACTTACAGGTACTGAAGGTTCTTCAGTCCTCCCAGCTCAGGGATCAGGGTGCCTGAGATGCCTGCATCCGCCAAATCCCTGCACAGTGAGGAAGAATACAAGCAGTATGATTCAATCAATCTGCAGAGATTCAGCAAGAGGAGTGCAGTTTTTGTCCCAAGTTAAAAGTTTCTGAATGTTGCAAACAACTGTGCATACTGCATAAAGGAGTGGTAACAACTTCCATCCATGCCATTGCCATGGACCGACCCTATTCTTTCAGAGCAAGGAAGAGAAAAGAAAAACATACACTCGGGTGACAGAGTTGTCGCTGTTGCAGGTGACATGGAGCCAAGTGCAGGGGTTGAAAAGGGTGGGGTCCCAGCTCTGCACTACATTGTTGGGGTCCTTCCACGCCTGCCTTTGCATGTAAAGGATGTCGCCTTCGGATACCAAAAAATCGTATGTAAATCAACAGCAAAAAACCCTTTGAGCAGCAATGAACTCACTCGAGAATCGCAAACTAATTAGCATGTACTTAGTACTAGTACCTTCAGTGTTGCTGCTGGCGATGGTTGCAAGAGCAAGGAGGCCGGCGAGGAGGAGTGCTGCCCCAGTGCGAGCTTCCATTGCTGGAGCCTGGAAGGAAGCCTGAGGTGTATTGACAGGGTGCACTGAGATGCTAGAGGAGAGCATACGGGTTCTTATATGCGGTTCTAGAGCGTCGCCCAAGCTTTGAACTTTCCTGGTGACTGACCTTTGACTTGTGCTCTTGTGAAGGGCAATACGTGCAAGTAGTAACTCGTGTATAGCATTTGCAATTTTGACCAAGGAAAGCTCAGCCTGTGAAGACCAGAGCAGCTGAAATTCTGAATGATTGGCCTACAGAGTGTGCAGAGTGCAGAATACACCGTGGAAACTTCCGGTCGAGACAATTTTCTTTCAGAGTCGAAAACTCCCGCCCTTCCACTCAGGCAACTAATTTGATTCTTCAGTTACAATGCTCGTTGCACTCACCAAGTTGGTGGTGTACTCTCCTGTCCCCTGCGACTATTTAGTGGCCACGAGGCAGCTGCATCGTACACCACCAGATTCATGCCGCCGAAGATGTACCAAATGAAGAACTTTGTGATGGAGGGATGTGGACTTTGGGACGTAGACACATATATAGTGATGCTATTTTGTGGCAAACAGCCACGGTTCATGTTCTCATATTATTCGTATTCTGCGAAATGCAAATGGACAGCTTTCTTCTGCTGGAAGGCCTTGGATTTTGGGACACAGTGAAGAAACTTTGTTGCAAACGGCTACGGCACATATTCTTCTTGAGCTCAAAAAATGACAACATTTCGGTACTTCTGCTCTGTTTTGATTTTCGGCCGAAAAAATCAATTTTCGGCCGAATTTCGTCCATCTCGCCTGGGCCCGGTAAATGTCTGTGCCGGCCATAATTTTCGGCCCAGTTTGATTTTTTTTGGCCCAATCCATTTCTGGGGCCTCCGCTCGGTTTGCCTAAGTTAACGTCATCGAACCGAACAACTCACGATCCCCTGCTCCTCCTGTGTGCGCGGCGGGGGCGCTCCGCCCAGATCCTCCACTCGTCGCCGCCTGCCTCCCTGCTCGAGCCTGCTGCCTGCCCTCCCGCCACGTTCGCGCCTTCCCGATGGCCTCTGCTGGCTGCGGGCTGCAGCTGAATCCATCGGTGATTCATCCTCAACTCTGCAGCACCTCTCGTTTCAATCTTTTCTTTTGGAGCTGATAGTGATGTTCGACTGATGCAGAGCATTCAATCCCCAAAGCTGTTCCGTAAACATTTATGTACGTACCCCTCAATGTTCCTTGACTACTATACTTTTACTCTGATTGTTTTCAATTTTTTCAACCGAATTTCGGCCAAATTTTGGACAAATTTTATTTAAAATTCAAATTTTAGTTTTGTAATTGCGTCCGAGATTTTACTGAAATTTTTGAAATGGCCGAATTTCGGCCATCTCGTTCGGGGACGAAAAAAATTTGCAAACCGAAAATCAAAACACAGCTTCTGCTCACTACGAAATCTGGCAGTTTGCCGTCAGGGAAGTACAGACGGCAAAGAGTTTGCCATCAGTCAGCTGACGGCAAATATAGTCGGCAAAGCCTAAATCGGCAAAGAGATACTATGCCGTCAGCTTTTCATCGGGGTGACGGCAAAGACTTTGCCGTCGTGTTTTCTCCTGCGGTGGACGGCAAAGAGGGGTTTATGGATTTCTGTTAGCAGGTGGGCCCCTACATCGCTTTGTCGTCAACCTCGTAGTCTAACAGACGAAAAAAACATGATTGTGCTTCCTGTTCATCATTCGTACCCCAGTTCATGTCCATTCGGTGGCCGGAGTGCCTCCCTCGGATGGAGTTCGTGCCGGTGAGCTGCGGCGTGGTAACAACGAACTATACACATTGATGTGCTGCAACTCGGGGCGGCGGGCATGTGCAGGCGAAGCGACGAGGAGGTACAGTGGGTGATGGGGCGGCCTGGCGTCGGGCAACAGTGGTGGTTGACGCGAGCTGCGCGGGCGACCTGGTGTTGGGCCACGAGAGGAGATGAACGGGCGGTCGGAGGCGCAAGAGGGCGCGAAGGCTGGCGATGGCTGCCATGGCCATCCATGGTGGCGTGATACACATTAGGAGAGGAGAAGCATAGAGGTGCGCCGAGGTAGAGTAGGACAATGGCGGCGAGTGGCGGGAGGCGGGAGGCGGCAACGTCTTGGGTGGCCTCCGGCGGGGGGCGCTGGGGAGCGGGCGGCGACACGAGATAGGAGGCCGCCGACGGCTTTCATGGCGATGGGAACGGGACTGGCTCGACGGGGGATGGGGCCGACTCGAGGGAGAGGGAGAGAGGACGGGCCAATGGCGGTGAGCGTGGCGGGGTGGCCGACGACGAGCGTGGCGGGGCAGCTGGGGAGTTACGTGCGTGCGCGCGAGACACACACACACAAAGAGATTAGTGCGGGGATAAGGGGAGAGAAAACATGGTGGGGTCGGCTTGGAGAGAGAGAACGTGGTGGGGGCGTGCGAGAGAGAGAGATCAGCTAGAGACAGCGTGGGGTGCAGATCGTGCCACCTCATCGACCCGGGAGATCGATTCGCGAGGTGTGTTTCTTCTTTGCCACCTGCAATTTTTATTAAAGACGGCAAAAAGATTACTTTGCCGTCTGTAATAAAAATCACCGATAGTTATTCTTTGAAGTTATCTTTTTTCTTCTTTTACCGTCACCCATTTCGATGACAGACGGCAAACCAGATTTTTATTTTCAGTTTTTCTTTGCCATCTACTGATGATAATAAACCTTTTCTTTGCCGTCCACCCGATGAAAAGCTAACGACAAATTAGTTGTTTTCCATGGTGGTTATATTTGAAAGTTCAGATGCGGGAAGGGATACTTCTGTCAGAAAAAAAGGACAATAGTGTTTCGCTACTAATAATAGAGGGACACGCAAGTCAAGTCTAGAGCTTTGAATGCGATTAATTCTCTCGACGCCAATTTGGACCCCCTAAAGCAGCTTGAGTTGTACAAGGCATAAGCTAAATTTCGCAATCAATTTGTATATAATCTCCACACGTGCTTTTTTCTTAACCTTTCATAGTGGCAGCTTTCACCACGTAAGCAAAAATGAGCGCCCTTGATCTGTCTTGGACCGGTACAGTTACTTGTACAATCTACCGTTCAATCTAATCGGAAGGCTCTCATTTCTCCCCCTCTGTCTCTGTCAAACCGACGTCTTCTTCCTTTCACTCCACCTCCTCGACCTGCTTGCCGAGCACGCAGGTACCGCGGCCGCCGGACACCACGCCCGCTTTCGTCCGCGCCAGTCGTGATGCCGGCGGCTACAGCATCCGGTGCTGCTTATGACGAGTTGACGACGATGGCGTTGCTTATGACAGCCAGCTCCACGAGCAGCAGGGCGACGACATGCTCCACAAGCAGCAGGGCGACGACATACTCCACGAGGACATGGAGGCTCCTCCCGCCGACCTCGACAAGGAACACGGTGACGGTGATGTTCTGAAGCAGCACAGGCGACCTGGACATGACGGAAGATGACAGCAGGGAGATGGCATACTCCACAAGCAACAGGGCGACAAGGAGGCTCCTCCCACCGACCTCCACAAGGAACACCACGGCGGCGATGTTCCGGAGCAGCACGGGAGACCTGGACATGGAGGAAGGAAGCAGCCAGACGAGGGGACAAGCACGCCTCGGCAGCCACGCTCTCCTTGAACGGTTTCATCAACCACTGCCATGCCCTCCACGGTGGTGTCCCAAGAACTTCCGGCCGCAACAGCCTCTAATGGCGTCGATGAGAACGAAGCAGTGCAGCTCACGAGCTAATAGGTTTTTGTTTCCATTGATTAACATGATTAAGGAGAACCATCAGATTACAATGGATGGTAGATATTAAGGTGGTGTTTGGTTCTCTAGTCCTGTGACTTTTTCTAGTCCCAACTAAAAAGTCTCTAGTCCCTAAAAAGTCCCTCCCTATTTGTTTCCAGAGACTAAAAAGTCCCTAGTCCCTTGCTAGAGGTTATTAAATGACCATGTTGCCCCTACTATATAGAAAAATAACAATCAAACAACACCATGGGGTGGCGGGCCAATGCGTGCATGGAGGAGCATTATTGAAAAAGTCCCAAAAAGTCCTAAAAAGACTCTCCTTGAGAGTCTTCTTCATTTAGTTCCAAATGCCTAGTTTAGTCCCTGAAAAGTCCCTCCGTTTGATAAAAAAGTCTCTAAGAATTTTTTTTTAATCCCTACATAAAAAAATCCCTGTAAACAAACACCCTCTAAAGCTACAGCACCCGTACAGTGATAATTCAGCTGCTGAGGAGCCGAACCGGTCTTGGACCTACACAAGTCAGTTATCCAAACTAGCTGTCGACATCGTTTTCCACAAAGTAACAAAACTATTTTAGCTTAACTCCTCAATCGCGACCAGTGCGAAAAGCCACCAAAGCATTAAATGTTTGCAAGAAAGAAATCTAGTAATTTTGTGAATCTCCAACAACCGGCATCAACACTAGAAACCTTCACTGTCATGGTTGAGAAGCACTAAATGGTCGATTGATCACTCTTTAACATGAAATCTGACCAATTGGTCCTACTGTAGGTGATGATGTGGTGTGGGAAAACTCACACCGTTTGGCACACGGTTCAAGAGATAAAATATTTGAAAAAGCAAATCTACGAAAACTGCACAAACTCTAGGTTGTGACATATGTCCCACATGCAATGTGCCATTTGTCACCACGAGAGGAGATGGAGAGTGACCTTTAGAGGAGATACCCTCTGTTTAGTGATTTCGCTATATGTCACTTTTTGCGACCCAGAAGAACATTTCGCCTCAAGCAGCAAAGCCTTCCTGTCGCTATGGCTGGCCCATGTTAGTTTGTTTTCTTCTCTGTTTTTTTTCATGTGTTTGTTTTTTCTTATCTTTTGCTCATATTTTCAAAAATATATTCCAAAACAAATATACTCCAAAAACTTAAACCAACTTAAAATTTTAGAAAAACTATAAATTTGAAAAAAGTTAACATGGTGTAATAATTTGTTAGCGTGGTTTTAAAAAATGTTGATAGCTTTGAAAAAATGTTGATG